CATCATCATCATCATCACCGTCCACCACAACAGTCCTCCCACCCCAAAACTCCCCTCCACACCATCCTCCAACAAACCCCACCCGTCACACAAGACGTCAAGAGAAGGATGGACTGAAGGACATCCATCAGCAGGGGGCGTTCATCCATCCATCAAAAGCATCCATCCATCCATCCGAAGGAGAGGAGGAAGACGAGGAGTGACGTCTTTGAACTCAAACCAGAAGGGAAATTTTAAGCAGGATGTCACTTCAGCTGCGCTTTTCTTTAAAAAAAACTATACAAATTCTGTACATATCCAGAGTTGGGAAGTTATGTGACTCAAAGCCAAAGTTTCATATTGTATGGATGTTTGGAAAACTCCCCAGAATGCCTCAAACAGCCCCTTTTCACCACCGGAACCTTTTCTGGGAACCTTTTTTTAGGGAACTCAAGACCTTGCCTATTTCTATCCTTCTGACTTAAGAACCATGGCAAAATCAATGATCTAATCACATTTCGGTTGGTACCAAAGAAGTGTTAACATTGAATTCCTAGCTCTAATCCTCATTCCTTGGTCTGGGGGAAGTGCTCTGAAATGGCCCAGGAACTATCATGGATCAACACAATGATTCTGGCATTATTTCATCAAAATCATCTCTTAAACAAATAATATATAATTGGATTTATTTGCCGAATCTCCAGAGTTTCCCAGATGCAGCGGAAACTTGCAAAAGGGACTCGTAGTTTCTGGTTCTGTTTTTGAAAGGGGTCCAAAAACAACTCGGTTGGATTATATCAATTTGGGATCAAAACCTTTGGATAAATTATTTATTAAAACTGTAATGGAGCTTGAAAGTAAAGGCTTCCCAACCCTGTGCATATCAGTGTATGAGTGTGTGTGTGTGCATTCGATGAGCTTTTTTTCACCGCCGCTGAAGTGACGTCAATCATATATTTCCTCTTCGGCAAACATCCATCTGAGACTTGGATCTAAAAGTGGTTTATTGTATCCGGACTCCCCACCCGACATCACCCCGCACCCCCCTCCTCCCTGCAGCCCCAGCCCCACCCGCCTCCCCTGGTACAGGGAGCTACAAGACTGTGAACTTTATAAAGATTCATTTGTTTTCATTGTATCAATCACATTATTGTTGTTTGTGTGTTCTCCTCCCGCACACACCTTTCTGATTCTTCTTCGATAACAGTATTTGCTTTTTATGCGTCGTTGTTGCTGTTGTGTTATGAAATAAGGCCTTCAGTTATGTGGTTTTTTTGTTTTGTTTCCTTTTACTTTGCCAGGTTTGGCGTTCTTAACAGAATGGCATCGTCTTTTTGAAAATTATTTCAGATCCTTTTGTTGTGTTCTGAGGCTGTGAAAAAGACTGAGGAGACACAAATAGTTTGAGATTACAAGTAAAACTCTCACGCAGGGAATAGGGGAGCTTTTCTGAGTGTGTGTTTTTTGCGTGTGTGTGTGTGTGTCTGTGGGTCCGTGTGCATGTTTTGAGACAAACACATAATCAGAATTTAAGATTTTTACGAGTGTGTGTTCCGGGCACTTGTTGTTCTTTTACCTCTTGCCCGTTGAGCCTTAATAACTGAAGTCAATCTGTAAGGGCGAAACCAGAACCACTGACAGAGGATGTTAGGCCAAAGATCAACTGTGCGTCTCCATTTATTAAAACACAATAACACTGTTTGTCCGTGAGAACCGGATGTTTGCAGCCTCGGCTTGCTTTTCTCGCTGTTTTTTGTGGAAAAGATCTTCCTCACAGCGTTAGCTTGTTTTTTTTAGTGTTTTGAAACCGAGAACTTACAGATGTTACGTGTGGAACTTTTAAAAGACACATTTTATTTTGGGGACAAAATTGCCTTTCAAGTCTAAACAGTCTTCTACACAGTATTTTACATTGTGAGGGCCGTTGTAGCAGAAAATCTCCTGGATTGCTTTTTTTGGCACAAAACATAAAGAGAGCGCTCCAGAGCAAGCAGATTTAAAGCTTTTAGAATTTTGGACAATAGCGGAAGAGAAAAAATTCAGCTGAGTGTGTAAGATGTGGTCTTTTAAAAACTGTAGCAGCGACGTTTTCAGAATTTGCAAGCGCAGGAAGCACTATGAACATCTCCTATCAGCTGCCATGCTGAAGCACCCGTCAATGTAAATGCCATTTGCACTGGTTTCATAATCCTACAACATCCACTGGAGCAGCGGGACAGGGAGCCAACATGGCGCCCACTGAAAGTCCCAGTGGTCGGGCCGTCTGTCAGTGGTTCTGGGAGAAACCAGGCACTGTGTCGGACTGTCAGGGTCCGTAGTGCCTGCGGTTTAAACCACGGGGAAACTAAGCGCTCTCCTCACTAGCATTTTTATCAGGGTGGGGGTCAATTCTCTTTCAACTGAGTTTGTTTTTCATCATGACAAAACTTAATTTAATGCCTCAAAAAAAACTAACTCTAAACTAATTCTAACAGAGAATCTTGTTTTTAATGCTGTTTCTCCCTAAAGTTTTGTTGTCTACAACTTTGTCGACCTCACTCCCCCGGTATCTAGCCTGTGCCGAACTCTAAATCTAATCAGCACATTTTTTCAACTTCTGTTGGAACAGAATTGAACTCCTAACCCTGCCCTCTAATCCATGGTGTCCATGTCTTAAGTGGGCTGTTTTTCAGCTCCCATTCTGGACTGAACTTGATTATGCAACATAACGCAGACCTCGCTCTAAGCGCTGTTCTGAACTGTAGTAGAGCACTAGCTGATAGTTGCACTGCTGATATGCAGCTCACATGGGTTGTAAGAAGAACCCTAAAGGGAGGCCAGGATGCGCAGAAGCATGTGCTGTCGATCGCTGAACAAAGCCAACTCTGAAAACCCGCTTAGACAACAAGGGTTGTGACTGTGGACTGAGACAGGAAATCAAACTTGTGTAGTGATGTCTTAAACAGAGGGGCTAAGGATGTGATCAATGGAGCCGGCTTTTCACAATCCTGACGCGTCCCTTTACAAACAAAAAGGCAAGACACATTTTGCTTTTGCGACGCTGTTTTCATTCGGACTTACTGTTGTTGTTGTTGTCATTTCAAAAGCTAGTAAGCGAGAGCAAAATCCTGACTTTTTCATAGGATGATAACCGAGATGGACGTGCAGGCTTCCTGTGAGCTGACTGCATGCCATGAACAGGGCAGATTGTTGTTTGGTCTGCACACTGCAAAAAAATATCCGTCATAGCAAAGTCACTGAATCTGGTTGTGGATTTTTTTCAGCCTTGTTGAAGGATATTGTCACTCATAACAAGGAAAGTCTGAAAACTGGTTTAACCAAGTGTAAAAAAAAAAAAGGAAAATAGTTTCACTTTTTTCCATTTGTAAAAGATTAATAAGAATCTGAACTAAATTCAGTCACTTGTTTAGAGGTATGTTGTTCTTTTTTGCAGTGCAGCGCAGAGCAATGCAATGTTCCCGTTTCTCTTAACACCCCCCCGCTTCAACTAAAAAAAAAAACATAGTTACTAAGCACATCTTTCTAGAAGAGTATATGCATTTGATTGCAATTTTCTTTCTTTTGTAAACTGTTGATAAAGACATTAAGGACAATGACAAATAATTAAGATAAATCCATGTACATAAATGTATATAATCAAAAAGTGCAGAGTAAATGTAACGGGTGAATTTCTATTTTTAACACTGACTAGATAATGTGAAAAAATCTTTTTTTTTTCTTCTTCCTCTGTTGGTTTGATGAAATGTGTTTCATCATGTGTTCTTTTTTTCAAAATCTAATACATTTGTTTCGTAGTTTCTTAAAAAAAGATTGGTCCCACTTGTGTTGTGCACACTTGTTGCATGGAGCGTAGCCTTCTTGTTTTCCTATAGTGACGTTGGTGAGCATGTCCGTGTGTGAGACAGTGGGTTTCCCTCAACATTGATGACATAAGGGGAAAAAAACCCACTTTAAAAATGATTAATTGGTGATCCATTTATTATAACAGAGCTTGATATTTCTGCACTGGACTGAATTTAAATGACAAAAAAAAAAAAATCAAACAGTCCGTGAATTGGGAGATTTAGTTGGCTTGGGTCAGAAAAATTTTTTTTTACAGAACATTTCAGGTCAAACGGGGTAAAAAATATCAGTGTTTTTGGTTATTTTGGGGTACAGGGTCTGTCTTATAGCAGGTCTAACACAGGTAGTAGAAACAGACATATCAACCTGTTATACACCTTGTTATTATTAAAAAAACAACCTGTAGTTGCATACAGAAACCCAGTTTGCCATTTTATTGCAGCAAAGCTTTACAGATACAAAACCGATTCATTTAAATATGATAAGGTATTTTCTCCCAACTGAAGTTCAGACATTAAAGAAGGTCAAACCTAGAAACCAAAATCATTCATTGTGTAACTGGTTGAGAATTCGCTCACATGCTGAATGCAAAAACATTTGTGTAGTATCTATAATCAGGAATTTAGCTTGAAATCTTTTTTGTTAGTGTTCAGCAACAATTTATGGCACAAGACTGACTGCATAGCAGTTGCTAAGGCTCATGGGATATGTTGTTGTTGAATGCTAACAAAATAATTGTTCATGTATCTTGGCTGAAATGAGGAAATGTTCATCTTTATATCCAGGACAGTAGCAGACAGCCATTTATCTCAGAATATGGACAGGGAAAACCAGGAAAATGGTTCAATGTTCCAGAAGAACTGAGCAGAAAGTGGCTAGGCAAAGATGCCGGACTTGAGCTCTATGTAGACTTGTTATTTAACTTAAGGGCATCGTTTTGATTATTTGTGGAAACGCTCAGGTCCAATTTTCCTACCAATATGAAAAAAATCACAAAAAACATGTTCTCAATTACATCCAGTGGTATCTAGCGATGGTAATAGTTTTAACCCAGTACAATGGAGGTGAATGG